AGAGGGGAAAGGGGGAGGGGGGAGGGAGAGGAGGGAGAGAGAGAGAGAGAAACATCAATGATGAGTCATTGATCAGCTGCCTCCTGCACGCCCGACCAGGAATGGAGCCCACAATCTCTCCATGTGCCCTGAACAGGAATCGAACCCCGATCGCCTGAATCCTAGACCCCCACTCAACCGCTGAGCCACGCCCGGCCAGGCCCTATTCTGGCTATTGGTATCATGTTCTGAAACCTGGGAGTTATTCTATCCCCCTTCCCCCACTAATCCTTTATCAGTCACCAAGTCCTATTCTACCTTAAAAAGGTCAACACCTAAATCCATACTCTCCATTCTCAACACCTCTATCTTGGTTCAGGCACAAATATATTTTGGAACATTACATCTCTCCTAAAAGTTCTCCCTACCTTCAGTCTGGCTAATTCTTCAATCATTCCTTTCTATTGCTGCTAAAGTAATCTTTCTAGAACATAATCTAAATCATTTCCACCACTGCTTAAAATCTTTCAACAATCCAAAATAAAAACGGAATCCTTAGCAGAATATTCTGCCTCTTGCTACCTCTTTAGCTTTATCTCTTCCTAATCTCTCATATAACACACTAAGTTTCAAACACATCACTGCACATCCTGGAAAAAAATCATATGTCTTCTTACCTCAATACCTCTGCATGTTATTCCCTCTTTCTAGAAAGTCTTTTTCTTGACACTTTCAAGTAACTTTCACTTGCTCAGGCTCAACTTGTGGCCTTCAACTTTATCCATTCCCTTCTTGCTCCCATAGCAACTAACAGATATCCTTTCATACTATTTTATAATTGTGGATTATATTCTACTAAATTTTGAATGAAAATAAAATATTATTCCTTTTTGTGTCCCACATATGGAGCACTTTGCCTGGCAATAATAAGTGATCAACAACTACCTACAGACCATTTATGCCTTTTTGCTTTTTCCAGAAACAGAACTTCCACTATAAACATCTCCCAACACAGAACAAAGCAGCTACTTAAAAATAACAGAAACCAGTGAAGAAAGCAATAGATATAAACAAATGGAGAAAAATTAAACACACAGAGTCTCTTCAGAGAAGCTCCTGGGAGCTCACTATTTTCTACTCTGTCTCACATTCTATCACAAATATGTTTTACTTGCTTTTAATTTTCAATGCTTACTCTGATCTCCCGGAAAGTAAGGAGTGAGAAGTTTCTTCTCTCCACAATTTCACAGAATGAAAAATTGAAAGGATTACCAAAATCAGCTATACTTCACAACTGAGCATAAACTTTTAAAAATGTCATAATGAATAAAACCCCTGAGTTACCCAGCCCCAATTCCACTTCTAATAGTTGCCTCCTAAAAGACCTGTGAGACTGCAATGGATATTTTACCAACCAGTTATCAAACATTCTCCCTAACAGACTCCCAACATCTCATCTGAATTTACAATCTTTCTCTTATGGTAGGAATTATATAAAATCACTGTTTACTCTGTAAATATGCATTTACTTTTTTTTCCTAAAGATAAAATGAAATACTTTCCTCCTACCTAGCCCATTGGTCCTCGAACAGAAACTTTCCCAGCTCAATTCCCTCTAATATTGGCTACAGTTGTCTGTGGTCACAAAGGGAACAGAAAACTCTCCTCCTAATACTGAGGCCTCTAACATTCCCAATCCTTCCCCCTTTCTTCTCTCCAGTGGTACCCAACTTTGCCCATTAAGTAAAACAAATTCCGAATCAATTAATAAGCAGTGTTAGAAGTGTGAGAGAATCCCAGAGATCAAACTCCACGTAGCACAGTAAGCCCACAACTGTGTCACTCCCAACTAGCATGATATAAACATAAGCACCAAGCTTATGTAACTCAGGTAACCTGTACCAAGTCTGTAATCATTAACTGTGTCACTGTCAATCAGCTTAATATAAACACAAGTATCAAGCTTGTAATAAAACTGAGATAATGTGTACCAAACTTGTAATCATCGTTTACCAAAAACAATAGAAGTCCATGCTACAGCTAGTAGTATCAAGTATACCAACCATAAATTCAGTGTTTTGAAGAATACATGGGGGAGAACGACGTAGAAGGCCAAACGAGGGGTATCACTCTCCAGTATCACTATCCTGGCCAGGTTTTTCTCCCCTCCAAGTCATTTGGAGTCTTCTCTAGCCCTCATCCTTGGGAAAAAAAAAAAAACCGTCTCTCTTGGTAGAATCCACAGTACTTCTTCTAACTGCCAAGCTTAGACTGACCTGCCTTGCAACTGTGAGAATTATTATTTTATCAAAATAGATCATTAGGTTTAAATTTATCTTTACCCAACTGCCAACTCATTAACTACAACATCCTAGTCTCATGGAACACACTTTTGTACATTCCAAAAAATAAGTAAAAATGCTAGATCAGTAGTAACAGGGAAGAACAGACAATGCTTCCCTACAGAAACATTTCCATTTAATAAATTCAGAAGGAATGAGGGAAACAAAGTCACTGTTGGGACAAAATTGCAAGATCCATCAATGAATTCTAAAATTAGTTTGTTTGCAAAGTTTAAGGAGAAACAGGGTATCTACATAGCCTTAGAGTATTTTCCCCAAAATACGTATTAATTTCAAAAAGGAAAAAAGTAACTTTATAGTGGAGAAACCTGGCAGATATCACCTTAATCAAATGATCACGGTTAACCTCACCAGTAATAATGTCATTGATACTGTGTGCCCTCCGACATGATGTATTGAGAAGGGCACATCACCCTTGTGGTATCCCTTCCAATAATGCATAACACCAATCTAATCAAGAGAACACATCAGACAAACCCAAACTAAGAGGCATTCTACAAAATAGCTGACCAATACCTTTCAAAAAAGTGTCAAGGGCATGAAAGATAAGAGGTTTGAGGAACTGTCATAGACTAGAGGAAATTAAGGAGACCGGCTGACTCAATACAATATAGGATCCTGGAACACATTAAGAACATTAGTGGAAATGGGCAAAATGTGAACAAAGGCTGTAGTTGATTTGTACTGTAGCAATGTTAATTTCTTAGTTTTGATTACTGGTTCTATAAAACATTAACATAAGGGGAAGCTAAGTGTAGGATGTATGGGAACTCTGCACTGTCTTTGTAACTTCTGTAAGTCTAAAATTATTTCGAGAGATTTAAGAAAAAAACACCCAAAAAGCTGAATTCCTGATACCAAGCCTCCTAGGTTGAGCAACACATTTTTTATTTATCCAGTTTTTTTAATGACTCTCTCCTCCAGCCTACTATCAATTTATACTGAGTTCCTATTCTTTCCCTAAAGAGCTTCCAAGTTCTTATACTTGTTCTTATACTTTAAGACCTCTCAAAGTATCTCTCCCTCTCCCCCCCCTTTCTTTCTTTCTATATATCTTTATTGATTTCAGAGAGAGGAAGGGAGAGGGAGAGAGATAGAAACATCAATGATGAGAGTCATCATTGATCAGCTGCTTCCTGCAGGCCTCCGACTGGGGATAGAGCCCACATGCCAGGCATGTGCCTTGACTGGGAATTTAACTGCAATTTCCTGGATACTAGGTCGATGCTAAACCGCTGAGCCATGCCCAGCCTGGCAAAGTGCCCTTACTTCTTACCACCACAGGGCTAGACTATCCTTCCTATCCTGTCACAAACTGACCTGGCTTAAAAGATGTCCCTTATATACCTTAATATCTTAGAGTGTCATTGCAATTAACAATTTGCAAAGTGCTTTTAAACACATTTACATACAAAAATTTGTAGGTGTGTATTGTAACTAGTTATTATTTCACAGGTAATAAGAAAAATTAAGTGTCTGACATTTAATAAAAGAAGAACTGGATTCAGATTCAGGTTCTGACAGACTCCAAAACCAAGTTACCGTATTAACAAATACCAGTCTGCATTTAAAAATATTCAACTTCCCTGGCTCCAAACAGGCTAATTACACCTGAGACACACGATATTTAGGAAAGTTCTAAATTTCACCCCTGTCCTAAATGTCCCTCTTGCAAGCTTCAATGGTTCTACAATGAAGAATTCTGGGATTCAGTGACCAGGTTCTGTGTTCACCCTAACCTTCACCATTTTTTAAAAACAGACTTCAGTCATCTCTTCAGCTATCAACCTTTTAGGCTGAAGAATCACTTACCTCTCTTCTTATACAAACACTGCTTCATGCTTTCCAATAGCTGAGATGTCCCTCTAACCTCCAATTCCATTCACTTCTTAATATTTGCAAATCAGAACCAGGGGCAATCCTGCAGGGTCCCCAACCCCACGAAATACTCTGAATATCTTCTTCCTTCACTCAAAAAAGGTGTGTGGGGGGGAGGAGTCAAAGGGCTCATCCCTGATGCACGTGTCCGCCTTAAGTTTAGCGCAAGGACGCAGGGCTACGTAACAAAGTCACGTGACTCGAGGCTCAGGAGAAACCACCTTCACCTGACTCAACTGACCAGCGTTTTCCTCCTTCCAGGCTTGTAGACCCCCACGCTCAACTGATTTCTGTATCAGTCAACCGAGAACGTTAAGGCTCCACAAAGCGCCCTGAGGTTTAAAAAGTAGTAACTATGGAAACAAGCCTCTAAGTTTGAAAACTCAGAGGTAATGAGAAAACCATTACTTAATTAATAGGCGCTTGCTCCGGGCAAGGCACAGGAGGGTGCCCTTCAGCTCTCCGAGCACCCGGCGGGGATTTATTCAATTCTGTCACCTCCCGTCCTCGCCCCTCCGGCGCCTGGCACCTAAAACGGTTGAAATGAAGGGGAGACGCCGCTGGAAGGGGTTCGGGCCCAGGAGGAACCGTGGGGGAGAGACGGGCTCCGGAGGTAACTCTGGGAATAACTTTGGAAAACTTTTGCGCTGCTCAATTCAAACGGAACAGGCTGCCGCTGCGGGGGACCGGCCGGGACAGGCGGTCTCTCGCGGGGACGAACCGGGACACCCCTGAGGGACCCCAAGGGTGTTGGGCGAAGACAGGGGGACAGTCACTTGCCTCCCATTCCTCCAAGAAACGTCGGGCCTCGTTCGAACCAACCGTCTTATGTCTCCTAAATTCGTCCTTCACGTACTGGTCGCCGAGGGCTTTGAGGTCCGGGGGCAGAAAGCGGTGCAGCAGCAGGATGCGCCGATACAAGGCCCGCGCGTGGGCCA